TTTTATTAAAGGATCAACGGAGGTTTTGGGGGGTTTGGGGGGGGGGGGGGGAAGTGTCTTAATTTCAGTCTCCAAAATACACCTGCATTTTAGAATAGACTAGCAACACTGAATGTCCTGTATTTTGTTAATATTTCCTTGGACACAGAGGAAATACCTGCTACTGGTCTGTCGAATGACGGTCTCTCTTTGGGGAACTTTGGCTGTTGATGCTTAAAGCTCAATTCACACCTAATGCCATTCAGAGTTGTGTGGAGGGGGAGCGAGTGCTGTCTGTGACTTGGAATCGGGTACTGCCACCTGCTGGTCAAAAATCCTAGTGTACCATTTACTTGCTGAACACAATTTTTAATAGCACACTTTAAAATACTTAATATTAAAAATTAAAAAGTAGTTACTGAATATAAATCCCCCTTGTATAAAAAGAGCTAGAAAAATATTTTGAGACTGCTATTTATTATGCTATTTGATGGAAATTCTCAGGTGTCTCCCTGTTTATAAAATCCAACAAGAAGCTGTTATTTCACAACCAAACAAGAGTAGGCCCTTGTTTCCTTACTTGCCTTCTTACCCAGATGATCATTTACAATACTTTTGAGGACTTAGGTCTTTATTTTTCAAATAAACAGACTCTCTTGCAGCCAAAGCAAATAACACTTAACCTTTATCTGTTCATACACAAGCACCATTGACAGTGCTGTTGGGAAAATTAATGATGAGGTATTTTCTTTTCTTCCCCCCGCAAAGGCTCTGGGAGTTTCCAGTCAAAATGACCGATCAACAATAAAGAAAAAAATTAAGGATATTAGAAAAACACAAGAAAAACTGGAAAAGCAGAAGGAAAAGGTTCAAAAGAAGGAGAGAGAAGTTCGCAAGACTGGCAGAGTGGTAGCCACTCTTGAATCAAGCTGCTAAACCCACCCTGTTTTATTTTAGCACAGACTTGCTTCATCTTGAGGAAGTTCAGCAGATTTGTATATAATTGTACAATTGAGGGAGGAGGGAAAGTGCAACAGTTTAACATAGGTGGTTTTTTACTTTTTAATTATGGTCCCTCCCCATTACAACCCAATGAAATGAAATAACGTTTTCAGGGTTTTTTCATTCCTAGTTGACTCTGCCTGTACTAATAGACAATAATTTAACTTTCTGCCTTAAGTAATATTTGTGCTTCTGAGACCTCATATGCCCTTTTCATTGAAATTGATGTTTGTGAAAAGTAGAATACAGTATTAAAAATCATTCCAATTATTAGTCAACTAGCATTTGATAGAGCTGAATCTGAGAGAGGGACAATAGAAAAATCCTGCCAACAAATTCAGTCTGTGACAGTCTGTTTATCTGTTGCCACTAAAGATGTATAGTAAAAATTAAGTTTAAGAAAACAGTAATGTCAAATTAATTTAAAAAGAAAGCATGTATTTCAAATTTATGGATTATTTTGTTTAAATTCTTGTATTTCTGGGATTTTCATTCAAAGTTCACTGTAGTAGCACATTGTTTTTGAATTCTATGTGTTGCAATTTACTGAGAAAATAACAAGAAATATTGCGTAGTTTTCACAAACTACATATACTCAGCATAATATTAAGTTTTCTGTACACTACCTGTATGGTGTTGGGACAAGGTTTAAACCTATAAATAAGATCTTTTTTAACCTATTTTTCCTAAATAATACATAGTTTTATAGATTTATGCTATGAATAAGATCAATTTGCAATACATGTATTTCTCTTTTCTACCTGCTACAAGATTTTTGCGGACCAAATTTATATATTTGCTAATTTTAAACTATACTGTTTTTCAAACGTAAAATACTGAGGGAAGAACTGAAGGAAAAAATATCACTGAAGCACTGGGTTTCTGCATTGTATTTAAATGTTCCAATTGTAGACTACAGATTACTTCTTTTTAAAGGAGGATTTGATTCTCAGAATAGTTTAGAACATGAATTGGTGTTTTGTATATTTACATACTATTTTCTAGAGTTACTCCACCAGCACTTCCTTTAATTAGATTATTCCAGAAATATAGACTAGCTTAAATATCAATTTCACCATAGAATGGACTAGAATAAAACTTACGTAATTTGTTTATGTGGACCAAGTTCTCCTTTAAATCTATGGACTGTTTTTCATTTTAATTAAATGAATGAACTTCACTGTTGGTGTTTCACAGTTGTTATTTTTTTGTACAGATGTCACGAATTTCAGCAAAAGGACTGTGTGGAAATGCTTTGGCACCCTCTGCATTTCCAAAATAAATTTTGAAAATCTTGGTAATAATTACTTTTAAAAAGAGGTTCTATTTTCAGTTTTGTGCACTAAGAAACAATTCTTTGGTCAAGATTTAACTTATTTACTTTGTTTCCAGTAGCTTTGAGTTGGTACTCCAAGCTTACAGACCTTGAGCCACAGAAGAATGCTGCCCCACTGATAAAAGGGAAGGGAATTAGAAGTACAGAATGATCAAACGCTGAGGATCACACACGTAAAATCACCCTTTGATTAATTCTGTCCGGGAAGTTTATTTCTCAGATAAGTGCTTTCAGCCAGAACAGAGAATACTCATCTAATGATGTATTACCTTTTTCCTTTAAGCCTGCTGAACTGAATGTTGCACCCTGTGAAGAGTTCGTTTCTCAGGAAGGAGACTAATGGAAATAATGGTTTCAAAGGTTTGCCTGTGTGCTGCAGAGCTGTGGTAGTTAAACAGGGGCCACAGCAGGGATGATAAACTCACCTGGCACCTGAGCACAAGAACATGCATTTAACAGCTGTCAGATGCAAAACGAGGAGGCTGGCTCCATGGGACTAGCTTGGTACCATGCCACAAAATCACCAACTGAAAGTTTAATTTTCAAAATAGCTTTAATGAATAAATGTAGTGATTCTTCAAAAAATTAACTTAACACAAACCAAGATTAATTTTACAGTGCAAGACTGAGCTTATTTGCATACAAAACTACTGATCTCAGCATTCTGATAGCTGAGCTATTATACTGATTTTCTACAGTGATTCACTTCAACTTAACCAGTGTGTTGGCAATGACTTCAGTACAGTAATGAAAATATTAAACACAAAAATTATCTTCAGAACTTCTATTTAAATCAGAAGTAATCAAAGATCAAACTTGTAAGTAGGGTTAAACATTGTAAAGCAAAATATTACTACACTTGTGTTTTCACCGCAATCATTTGAGGTGGAGGGTGAGGAGACAGATACAAATATAACTACACAGGAAGTTGTTTAATAATTGGAATTCAATAAGTAGCTAGCTGAGACCATGAAAGAGGTTTTATTTCAATAATACCACATGAAATACTTCAATAGACTTTCTAGAAAACAATGCTTCATTAGAAACATCTCTTGTAGTTCTCAGGTGCTACTAAAATCAGTTCAATTAAGTTAGTTAAATATTTAAAACTTAGCATAAAAGCTAAAATGTTCAGCTTCAGAGTGGAGTTTTTAAAATCCCTTTGCTGTAACTTTCAGCTTTAGTTTAGCAAAAGCAATAGCTGCAGGCATCCTCTCTAACTTTTGTATAGGCCCCACTTTGCAATATGTGGAATTTCTCACATACACGCTTTTTCCAGGGTTGAAGAACAGCTACAGCTTCTCCTGTAGCCAAGCAGATGGAAACGTCTGCCAGTCACCACCTCACATCCTTGTCAAGAAGAAAAACAGGGACCTCTCAAAGTGCCCACAAGCTTGAGCGGAGCAGGTACCTGTACTGTTCTGGTGGCAATTAAGCTAGAGTAGAGTAATCCTCCCTCAGAGCATCAGTCTAACTGTGTATATAGACAACTCTGTAAATCACTACTCTTCAAGTGACCTACATTAGCCTGACCAGGGTATAAAGCCATGTTAGCGTTTTGCAGAAGTAGGCTAGGGAGGTAGGAGGTGACAATCTTCCATCTGGCTCAGCTACAACTAGAAGAGCATGACTTCAATTTCTAACATACCAGCTATTGCCTTCACCTGTGATATCACCTTCTGCTCTGTGCAGAGCTAGTAAACCAAACTAGTAACATTTAGGCTTTTTCTTTCTGAGAGGGATTATGCACATCTGCTGCAGTACAAAATCACAGAATTACAAGCAATGAATTAACTGAGAAAAGGATTAGTTCTCAGTATCTTTAACTGCATCACTCCTAAAATGTTCAGGAATGACAGGGATCCAGGTGCAACATAGGGGGGGGGTGTGTGTGTGATTTGAACAAAGCTGGCACAATAGGCATTGAAAAAAGTTGAATCCTTTCTTAAAAGAAGGATTTTGTACCTGAAATGTAATACTTATTCCCCTCTTTATCTTCCCCAGTATGCGTTGACAGTTTGCCTTTGACTGATAAACACGTTCTGCTTACCTCATTTATGCTATAGTGTGACTTCCAGATACTACATAAACAAGGCCAGAAGCATATCACAAATACAAAGGTATTTTCAAAAACTGTTAATTCCACTTTTTCTTAAATACTCCTGAGAAGGTAGTTTTTATTGACAAATAGAGGTGCCCTAGTAAGAGCAAATGTTAAAAAACTGTTTATTAAAATAGTATCATTTACAGCTGTAACCTGACAAACCCCAGAGTCTGAGATCTCACTAGGGCTAGAACATTGATCCTGCGTTTAGGTATTTCCTACAGAAATATAAGCAAATGCAAGACAGCATATCTTTACTGTACATAAGCCAAAACTATTTGCTAATTCACAATGATCATGGCAAGGTAATTTTTCACATGTATTAAATATTCACATTACAACCAAAGAAATAGGACTGATACCACATACCTGAGATACATTATACCAGTGGTAGCAGCTATATGGTTTTTTTTTATTATATTTTTTTTTATCCCTACAGACCTAAGTGTGATTTCTACAGATGCAGAAAACCTTGATGTAGGCAAGGTGTGTAGGCAACATATCTAACTTTGCAAAATTAGGCTTCAGCATGCTTAAGATAAAAGAAGAGAAAGTGCCGTACAGGTACAAAGGTACAGCAATAAACTCGTCATTTCTTGCATGAGTTTTTCATTAGTCTGGAATATTCTGTAACGGAAAAGTATTCTGGTGGACTTTTTCATTAGTTTGTATTAAAACAATTTTGTAATTACATGAATTAATACATTTCTCATCAGATATGAAAGAGATTGCATTGGTCCCTACAAAACCTGAAAATACTGCTCTGTTGATTTAGCCACTGAAAGTAGTCATAAATAGAAAGTAGAACACATTAAGTGTGACCTTCTCGCTTAAAATTTAGAAGTACGTACAGTTTGGGGTTTTTCTTGTGTTTTGTTCTTTTTTTTTTATTCCAGAAAAGAGTTACTCCACTTAAAATTATTTTCACATATCAAATGCGGTTTAGCATCTTGGTGTAAGTCAGGTCTTTTAAATTCCCTTTACAGACATACCTACTTCTTATGAACTGTTGAGGAAAAAGCTATGTACTGCGAAAAGTGGTCATGTCCTTTGGCTCACTGCTTGGCACACACCAGTCATCTGCTTCATGGTTTGCTTTATAATGTTTCCAGGCTGCTTTGTTATATACAGGGAGTCTTTCAATGGATTCTGTTGATAAGGCCTGTAAGTAGAGAAGACTGTATCTGACTATATTCTTTTTAAGCAAAGTTACAGTAACAGAACAAGGAGTTCCATTACCAGCTTGATTAGAGTTGCTGATAAATTTAAAATGGTAAAGTGTTATATCATACCTTTATGTAAATAACTGCATCTGTACCATAGCCTTCTAAGGAATACAGTTTGAGATCTCCTTGGAAGTACTGCGCATACAGACGAGATATGGGTAAGCCATAACCAAATCCAGCCTGATCCAGGAGAAAAAGTGTATTTTCAGTAATTGCATCAGTCACTGGTGTTTTTTGTTTTAACTTAATAGGTAAATAGAGAAACTAAGCACGATGTTTGACAGTAAGAGGAGGAGTTCAAATGTAAACTATTCTTCCCCCTGGAACTATTATACACCCCAGAAACAGAAGAATGCATAGATAATTGTGATTATGAGAAAATAGTCTTATTCCTCTGTCAAACCAGGCTGCTGGTTTGACAGAGGAATACTCCTTGTATTACAGTAGCTTTTTCAAGAAATTATGAGACCATTAGAGAAAACTGTACTCAGTCTGGTCAATGCCTCAGGGAGCTGCTAATTTTAAGAACACTGAGTACTTAAGTTGGATATGTTTCATCATTAGTATATATATAAAAAAGGTCCAAGAGCAACATCTGTGAATTTGTAGCTTAAACTAAAATTCTGACGAGCCTTGTCTGCAGTAGCAGGACATAGCCCTGCAGTGTTAAGTGTATATTTTTTTTTAATCTACTGAATTTTACAAGTAATCTCTCAATGAACATACACAACACTTCTCTAGGGTAAAGATCTAGTGTTTGATGAATTGCAGCCATCTAGATGCAGGACACTATATACATTTTTTTAAATTAATTTTGAATGATGCAATGTGAGAGAATAAAATCAGGAAAGCTGATCAGAGCTTCTTGCTGAGACCTAAGACTTTATTACTTATGCATATTTAAAGTTCACAAAAGACCGAAATAGATTCTTCATATGCCCTGTTACATCTGCATCCCTTAGTCCTTGGCTGGGGTACAAATGACTACATAGTACAACTGGACTTGATCCAAAATCATTGCTGTAATTATTTTTCCTTTCATTCAGTAGCCACAAGAAGAATTTAGAGTCCTGTCCTTACTGCAGTACCCTCAGCATAGCTAAGTATTCTGCTTGAGGTAGCTTATCTTCATATTTGGTAGACAAAAATAGAACCTTAAACAAGTTTAAATACTTTGTAGTATTTCAGAATTTTATGCAATTTTCCTGTTATTTCTAGAAAAAATATTTTAATTAAGCTATAAGATCCAAATAGTGATACTCATTGTATCTATAAAATCAGTACTTCATAACTTTAGCTAATGGTTTCTTTTGTGACAATTAAGCATATCCAAGATGACACAGCATAAAAGATTTGCGTACCAAAGGTGTAGCTCGTGACGTCTCAACACGTGGACGTGGTGCTGTTGAATACATGTAGTTGAAAAGTCTGTCAATTTTCCTCATAGGAACACCTCCACCACGATCACTCATCTGGAACAAGAAGGAACGTGTAGCATTATGTCCCTGAATACATTTTATAAAAGACAGCTTCTCTCAAACAACGATGCAGAGAAAGTTCAGGTAAAATATAATACAAAGTTGTCCCTATTAGATTTTGAATTTTCTTAAATTCTCATCTCTCAGTTACAGCAATGACCAGAGAGAGGAGAATCTTTTCTTTTCATCCTTTATCCAAACCATTTAAATAAAATACTACCATAAGAAATATTCATAATCTCTTGGAAGCAAGAAAATTCTGCTTAAATTATGCATTGCTTTTATCTTGCTCATAACTCAATTTTGTCCAAAGTCAGCATCTGTACCTTTTAACAAATGCCAGGTTCTGTGTATTTTTATCTTTATTCCTCGGGAATATTGCCAGTTAAATATCATCTGTTAAATCTATTACTGAAGGAGTAAGTCAGAAGAGTTTTTTTACTATGGTTTAGTTAGACTTATGAAAAAGCTTGTAGTTGGTCTTTGAAATCCAACACTGATGTTGTACAGGAAAAGAAGAAATTACTCTGCAAACCTTCAGGAAGGTTTCATTTGCATGAAATATACAACGTTTATTTTCCTTTTCTCAGTTGTTTCACAACTGTACAGCTCTGTTACTGGCACTTAGAAAATGCTGATATTGCAATTGTATAAAGATGCTACTTTGGTTTTAGTCGCTTATAAGTTAGGAAAGACCCGAGTGTGACTAAAGTACAGAATTCTATTGCAGAGCCTTCCATGTGACTGTGCAAACTCTCCATGAATTTCCTACTGATGCAGTATGTGAAATTCAGTAACGGTCTTGTTACTTATATACTACATCATCCCATACAATCCATTGTTGGAACCAGATCACCAGCTAAAGTTAGTAATACACTGCCTATGAGAGGCGAAAAAAAAAACCCTAATCAAAATACCCTTCAAAATAATCAAAAAAAGTGGGTACCTTCACAGTTAAATCCTCATTTCCCAACGTGACGTGTACATGAATCGGAGGATAAATGCATCGATCAACATGATGTTCCATGGTGGCTCTCATTGCATTCTGCAATTTTCAAGTACAACTTAAATCCTGTTCCTACCACTTTGGTACGTTATCTTAAAACATCAATTTAGGAAAGTTATTTTTATCACGTATTTCAGAATCAGGATAAATGTATATGGTTTTAGAAAAAGGATTTTTAGTTCTTCTGGTTTATTCAGTATTTATATAGTTTATTAGACTACACAGACTTCAAATATTATTTTTTTAAGAACAAACAATATCTTAACGTACAGTTTTATTTGTAGAATTCTTTATGATGCATAGTACATGCAATACATACAAGAATCAAAAAAAGTCTAGGACTGAACTGCTTGAGGAAAGCTCTATAGGACCCACTGCACATTATACCAGATTTGAATATGTGCCAAAAAATGTCTATCTTATTCTCACTTGCTTTACTAATATCTTTATACATTTTAAGGTACTTTTACAAAGCTGTTAATTTTCTGTGCAGTTACTGTTTGTCTAAATAGTACCATTTAGGTATCTTCCTGCAGTCAAACAGCAGTAGGTTTGCACTTGCAAAAACACGCTGCTATCTAGAATTGGTTCAATAAGTCAAACAAATACAATCTCACTAAACAAAGGTGTATAAAAGAATTGTGTAATGGTAAGTGCACAGACCTTGAAAAGTTCGAAAACCATGTGATAGAGATGTGATGGCACATACACCACTTGCATGGGCTGTCCTGTTGATTTAGCTGGAGAAAAGAGAGTGTAAATAATTAAATAGCAAACTAGGTATCTTTTATTCATTCCTGCAGTTATTCAAAATGTACATTTGTATTGTTGAGAGAATTTACAAGAGAAGGAAAATTTGAACATAAAATCTTCTGAAAAGTTACATTTTAATCAAAAGTCATACTCAAGTTTTTCAAATGTGCTTGCTGCTTTAGAAATAAATCTTAAAACCCACTGTAGCATCACTGGTTAGGGCATATAATAGTTGCTTTCTAGTATCTATGAGGAGTTTATCATGAAGATAAGAGTCAGGATCTTCAGGTAGTGGAACAACAAGTAACAGTGAGAGTAAGATGAAGTGACAGAGGTTCAGACTGGACATAAAGAAAAAACTTTTTTCACCATGACAGTTAAAATATTGAAACATGTTGCCCAGAGATGTTATGTAGTTGTTGTTCTTAGAGGATTTGTAAGACCAAACTGGGTAACGCCCTGAGAAACCTGGTCTGACCTTGTAGCTGTCCCTGCTTGAGCAGGAGGTCAGGCAAGAAACCTCCTGAGGTCCCTCCCAACCCGAATTATTTCTAACAAGAAACCTTAACAAAAATTACAGACAATGCTATCTATAAAACTGATACAGTTTTCAAACTTTTTTTTGAGAATAAATTGTAGAAAATATCATTGGAACATGTTCACTGTATCAAAAATTAAGGAAAGGTTGTTCAAAAAATTCTACTGGCTCTTAAAGTTCCTTCAGTTCAACAAATTAATAATTTCTCACCAGACTCTGTTAGTGACCAGTGCCTTAGGAACATAAATGTTGAAGACTAGCGATGTCAAAAGATCTGGAACAAATTATGTACCCAGCAAAAATAAAGTAGGGGTGGGGTGTGGGGGGAGAATAAATCATACTTTGAAATACGTCAGGTTCCTGTCCTCAGCAACCCTCCCCATGCCTCCACCCCTAGATCCCAGGCCTAAGGTTTAAATTATGGTCTCCACTCTCAGCTGTGGGCAAGGAATGTGCATTTGGCCTGGATCAGGTTTAACTCACCTTCACAATTCACTGAGCAAAAGGTCACTCCTTTATATAAAAACTGAACTATTTGTTCTGGCTTCTGGAGCACCATTAAATGGCCCCTCAGTGCAGAGAATTAGCTAGCATGGCTGTGATCTTTCAAATGTATTTTAGTATCATGCTCCAAATACGGAGAGAGATAAACCTTTTAACCTAGATACAGAATGCCAGGTTCTGTACAGTAGGAAGAAAGGATCTGGAATGTGTAGTCAAGGCCACATTTTCTTTGCCTTTAGCTTCATAAGCCACGTTACTGTGGCTGCACTTTGGCTTTCACAATTACTTGTAGAAGCAATTATGATTGCTGGGTTTTGTAGGTCTGTTCGAACTTGGCATTTGGCATCTTGAAAAGTACTCCAGTGAGTAGTGTCAGAAAGGCTCTTTAGCATTCAGCAGGACTATGAGGACAACAGCTGACCTCTCAGTTCACAGCAACACAGTTGTAAACTGTTTTTTCAAGTCACAGCCAATGGGTTCAAATAATTTTTACCACAACTTGAGTGTATTATATTGATCTACAACTACAAGAACATGATAGCTGAATAAGCAAGAGAAATCAGAATTAATGTTTACTATGAACCTTTAAAGCGTGAAATGCAGAGAGGATGAGATGGAGTAAACAGTGTAGGGTGAAGACAGACAAGAAACCTTAGGGAGGGAAGGAGGCTGCTAAAATCTGTTGTATCGATAGCTGTACTGTCAAAAACTTTTCTACTGGTTTCAGTTTAATTAAAGGGAGGAACTAGGAAAGCCTTCTGACAGATTTAAAACAAAACAAAAAAATTTTATGACAATAGATATAGAGAACACATTAACTATATGAGAAGTGGAACGACAACATTTCACCACCAGCTAGTTTAGCAGAAGTCATCACTAAATTCAAGAGTGCCTCATCCCACATTCACTTACCATTCAGCTCTTCAAGGATGAGTTCTGGAGAGCTCATGTAATATAAATCACAAAGTCTTTTTGCGCTTTCATAACCATCTATAATAAAAAGACAGAAAGTTAGATTTCCCCTTCCACTTTATTTTTTCTCCTTTTCAGTTGACCAAAAAGAAAAAAAAAATGAAAACACCGTGCACTGTCAGGGAGATTTTGTATTTTCTCAGAAAAACTGGGTTTACAGGGAAGTAACAAACTGTATTACGCTTTAAATAAAACTTCTGCTCTAGGTAGGAAAGAACAAAACAGTATATGAGTATCAAGATGTGTATTGGCTCTCAGTGTGAACATTCCTTTAAGTTTTCAGGACTGTTGTTCTCATCTGCTGAATTTACCTTTAATAACTTCAACAACATTGCAGGTAGGATCGATGCTTCCAATGTGTTTTGGATGAGCTGGATTAATTTTCCCACCAAACAGTAATGCTGCCAAAAAAGAAAATGCTATTTAACACCTGATATAATTTTATATTTTTAGTTTGTGTCTTCAGTTTCGCTAAACAGAAATTTATAGGCAATCTATAATTCCAATCTTCACCATATTTGAAAGCCTACTATTAATTTTTAAGAACTGTATCAAGAATCAGTTTATAAATAGCAAGGCAAATAGTGTGCTTCTAAGAAGGACTTAAGTACAGACTAAATACTTAAAAATAAAAGGAAAATATACTGACATAATACAGGTGTCATTTCCCCTCCTTTCAACAATGGCACTTACAGTGTTGATTAAGGAGCATTCTAATTGAAATGCGACTCATGTAGAAACGGTCTAAAAAATACTGCACATTCTGTGAGGTCACTGGATCAATGCCAAAGCTTTCCTTGTACTCTATTACCCCTTGAGCCATCGTAGGAATTACATCATTGTGTCGATTCCGAATTTTTATCACAGTATCTGTAAAACTAAAATTAATACATTGTTAGTATTTCACTTTCAAGTGAATTTAATACTTTGGCAAACAGAGTACCTGCCTACACAAATGAAGACCATTATGTACAGAAATATCACAGATCTGCCTACAGCAATAAGAAGACAGGTCAGTCTTTACAGCATATTTCAAGCGACTAGCCTTGAAACAATCAGTAATCAATCACTATTGATTCTTTATACAATTATTATTTATTTATTATCTTGATCACTGCCAAGAAAAAGAGAAACCTCTGCCAGCCATTTTCCTGCAGATCATCCCATGCCTGTCAAAAGGCAGTTATGGTCAGCCAACGATGACCAAGCCTACTCTACAGGTGAAAAGTTCCATATGTTAGTTTCACCATTACAAGTAAGGAACTGATAAACATTTGGTCAAGTTTGACATATTCATCACTTCTTCAGCATTAAAAAAAAGCCCTGACCAGAATGATACAGCATAAAAGTGCTTTGTTTCATGTTTTAACGTACCCTCCTGTTAGGGACGGGGGTGACGTTACTGCAACTCCTACGTAAAGACTGGAGATAGCTGAAATTTTTCTTAAGTTATTCTTCTCTTACCAGTCCTTTTACATAATATTAACATAATATCAACATATGTGACAGCAAATCCTTACCTATGAACAGCCCCTGAATCTTCTGAGCTTTTGTCCTTGAAGTCAAGGATCTCCTGAAGACTTTGGACATACCTTTAAATGAAAGAAACATGACAAAGACCAATTCTAATACAATTCCCCAGATCCCTGAACTATCCCCTTTGAATTCTGTTAGATCCTTTTGAATCTATTCACAATGCTTTCTTCCAAAATCTCCAGAGCAATGGATTCCACAATTTAATTAGAATGCATAAAAGATCTTCCTTGTGTTTTAAACCCAGTAGGTGATCACTTATGTGCAGCCCCAGCGAGTTCCTATTATTAGAAAATCTTCCCAGCTTGTTCACGATTTAAGTATTTCTGCCATCTCTTCCCTTAGATGTGTATTTTCCAAGCTGAAGAATTCTATTTGGTTTCTCCTCACGTAGAAATTGTTCCAACCCTCTGATTATCCCTCTTGGTCTTTTCTGTTCAGGATGGAGTGACTAAAACTGCACGCAATTCAGAGGAAGAATGGGCTAACACAGTGGTACAATTATATTCCTCCTCATTTTTACTTAGTTCCTAACACTATTTGCCTTCTTACCCATCAAATGACATATTCAGAAAAACATCCCCCAGTCACACCAAAATTTCTTTCTGTATTGTAAGCACACAAGCATAGAGAGAGAGGAGGTTCCTCTCTGTGCTCTACTTTGCATTTGTCCAAGTGGAATTCATTTCCCATTTGATCTATGTAATTTAGTATCATGAGAATTTAAGCGTTCATGTTTCATTAAAAGCCTTCATCTTCATTGATAGCTCTTTTTCTATTCAGTCATCTAATCAATTCCACTTACTCACTGGCAGATTTTCCATTCTCTTTAACTTTAAAAGCCTTTCCAGATAGCCACATGGCTTTAGTAGATGCCAAGCAATCTCTTTGTTTTGTTTGCGTCTTAAAAAAGTTTAGGCTTATGTGTAGCAAATTATTTTCAAAGGATGTCTTTTTTATTTTAATAGCCTTGTATTCTTTCTATTATTTTATGTATTTTGGCTTTGGGAGCTTCCTATCACTCTTTCTTCATATTTTCTACACTTTTCCTCTCAGTCTGCAATAATCCATCTTTTAAATGGTTTCTACTATCTTTTGCAAGCATTTTGTGTATTTGCTTGCTTTTGTTGGTTTCTTCAACTAACATCCTCATTTTAATTAAGTCACCATCAAACATCGTTCTGGTGGATTCTTGGCTTTACTGAATTCTCACATGTGACTACCTGCAATATTCAATGATTTTTAATTCCCTTGTAAGTTCTCTAATTGCTTCTAAAGGTTTTTTCCAAGTCTGTAAATTTAGTTTCTGATTTATGTCACATTGAGATATTTACTCAATCTAAATAAGCAATGTTCATGCAACAAGCACATGAAATGTTTGTTCTGTAGAAGAGAATGAGTTCTTCCAACTTTTGTACATGCAGAAGGGCACCCTTAAAGGTATGAAATGACGCTGTTCTTACCAGCTCTGCACCAGCTGAACTGAAGGTGTTCTTAGGAGGTTGTCTGGAAGCAGGCTTATTTCCTTCATTATGTTTGCCAATCTCACAGGCAACTCTTGTCGCAGAAACATAAATGAAGTCTTTTCACAAGCATTTTCAGATCCTAAGACCAAAATAGATATATGACAACATCAAAATAAACTCAATACTTAGGTAGAGAACTACACAACCTCTTACTTTCTTGTATAAGAGGTCTGTGTTTTTGTTCTAAAGTTGACTCAGTGAATCTGGTAAGCCAATGTTTCTTTCATGGCAGCAGCCCATTTGTATTTCAAAATGTAAACTCATACCACAGCCCTGTTGTGGTAAGAATAATCTTAAATATATAAAGAGTAACTAGTGCAATAGTTGCAGAGCCATACTATTCAACTTTAAATATTGCTTCTGTCCATGTAAATTGTTCATTTTATTTGCAGCCAACATGGACTGTAACTAGCACTGATTAAACAGTGTGTCACTCTGAGCATGTCAGAGAGGGAAGGGAAACAGGAAACTCTATGGGAATGATGCTTGAGAAAGTATCATGGTCGCATACACCTTGCTTGATCACTGATGCTACTGAATTACCATAACTCATACTGGAATGCTTTCGAAAATAAGTTCTGTAATATTTATCTCATTTTCAGCTAGATCTGTAGTTTAAATTCACTGCCTTACAGGAACAGAAGGCAGATGAATGAACTCATACGCATACGTAGAGAGAAATGAAAGCCGACAGCTACTGTGCTTAGTCATTACGATAGTAGTCATCCAATACATTTACTTTTTAAATTTTTCACATTTTTATAAGCTAGAAGGTAAATTACCACACCTGTTGATAACTGACCTGTCCTTTTATAAGAACAGGTGTCATCTGTGTGGGTGGCAATTAATTGTGGTTATTAAGATCAAGACCTAAATTCATTCCCAGAATGCTCATTTTACCAGGTGAGAAAGAAGGGTAGGGAGTGGGAAAAGGCTAAGAAACAATGAACTTCATTCTCAGCCAGACTTCTTTCTAGACTCAAGAGTGTCACATAAACAGCATCTGAACTTACTAACCTGTTCATCTGCTGCAGTGAGTACACACCACAGGCTTGGTGTTTCACAACAGGTAACTCCTAAAAATTAACTCTGGTGTTTCCACGCAGTTCACTCCTTCCATGTGGCAAAGGGGAGTTGGGGAAGAAGATTAAAGGAAAGGACATGGAAAAAGAGGAAGCTAGGAGCATCTTAAACATGAAAAATCTTCACCAAATTGGTATGGAGTAATTCAGTTTAATGCATCCAACTCTGATACGTCATAAACTACACTGATGAGAGAATGCCAGTGAACTTACTAAAAAAGTGAATAGCTTACAAGAAATTCCTGCACAGTGACACTTACCAGTATTGTGCATTGTCTACATACGACCTCTGCCCAAAAACCTTTCTTTCTTCTCCCTAGTCAGATTGTGTTTCAGACATGACTGTTACTGGCCTTTCCCTTTTCTCAGGTAAAATTCCATGAACAAGTCAGAGTGAAAGTATTGGAATGTAAAGGTTGTCTTCAAATGCCTCATATACTCAGCAAATGACATTCCACAGATCAGTTTTGGATCTGGAGGCTGTATCATTGCAATCCTGGGTCACACACGGAAGACAGCTCAGGGTAAGCAAGATGTCAGTGAATGGGGAAATGGCCTCGTGTCCCTGTGCAGCTACGGTCTATCTAGGCAAAGAATGGCTAAGACTTGTACACAAAATACCCTGCACTTATAACCAAAGATACGACTGATGTATGTGATCCAGACCGAAATTTCCTTATGGAATATTTTCATTTGCTAGATCAAAACCTGAAGGAGCTAGGAGACAGGTTTTTTTAAAGTTAGCATTACCAGATTTTATGATTTTCTGCTCTCACTCTAGAGAAAGAAGCCAAAAAAATCTCCACTTGAAAACACCACCATATTATAATGGCTACAGAATGTCTTACGGACAAATACTGTTTCAGTGTTGCACTCTACCTTTTTTTTTTGCCTTTGTTATTAGTTTTTACTATCCGTTATTAAATCCTTAAACAAAAGGGAGGGGGAGGGAGGGGAAGTTTTCTACCTTACCTTACCTTACATTTAGGTACTAACAGCAAAAAAGTAGCCTTACTTTTTACATGAGGAAATGCTGCACCTCAAAAACAAACACTGATTTTAAGGTAAGCATTATTTTACTAGTATTTCAGTGGTAAAATAACACAGGCCAAAGCAAACTCTAAATTGCAAAATTCTTTCCTTAAAAGTAGGGTAGCAACAGAATACCCGGTGGGGTTCCTGTATGAATCTGGAGCTGTAAATAACCAGATACATTTTATCAAAGCCTGTGAAACGTGGAATGGATGGATGAAGTGACAGTGATAGCTAAGGGAAGCTTTTCTGTGTAGGTCTTGCTACTCAGACAAAGCCTGGGGTTCTAGGATCAGTTCTCAGGTATGATTTACTTACAAAAAGGTAGAAAGCAATACCACTATTAACTAGTTGAATGCTTATATACAACATTTATGTAAATAGGCGTTTATACACAGGGGAGTGCCTTGGGTACGGAGTGTGTTACAGGACGGCTCCATCCCCAGGCTTTGCAAAGGTTTCTCCGTGTGGCTGAGATGACCCTTCCCCGTGCGGTCCTTGCTCCGGAGCGGAGCAGTTCCAGCAGTCCCTTTTGTTCCCGAACCCGGCGTTACCGGGGGGCACGGGACCCCGTGGGGCCCCCCTGACCCGTTCCCTCATTTTGAAGGCCCCGTGCCCGGTCCGGCGGGACGGCTCATGCTCTCTGCGCCCCGCTCCTTCTCTCACGCGCCTGCTAAAGCCACCCCGCCGGCGCGCGCTGCTTTTGCGAGGCACGGACGCGGGGCAGCGGGAACCGACGGCCGCTTCGGCTCTTCGGGCCGGCTCGGGTTCCGCCTCCCTCGCGCCGGCCGTACCTGAAGGGGTGGGCGCTGCCGGCGGGCAACGGGCTGACGGGACCCCCCTCCGGCCGCTGCTCCCCCGCCACCAGCTGTCACGGCTGCCCCCACCCTCTCCCCGCGGCCGCGGCTTCTGCAGAAGGAAACAAACTACTTCTGAGATGCCGAAACCCGGGGATTTTTCCAGCTGGATTTCAACCTTGCCACAGTCCCGGTCTCGGGGGAAGGAGCCGACCGGGCTCCCCTCTCCCGGAAGGAAGCGAAGGCTCGTTCTGCCAAAGGGGACAGCGGTACGGCGCGGCGGGGAGGGGGGGAGGAAAGCTCATGGCCGCGCCGGAGCCGCCCCGCTCCGCTCCTCACAAACACCTGCGGGCGGGGCGGCGGGGACTCACCGAAGTCCAGGAACTGCTTCATGGAGAGCGGTGAGGGGGAGAAGCGGGAGTAGAAGTCCACCTGCTGCGGGATACTGCCCGGGGCGGCGCAGCGCAGCAGGGCGCGCAGCAGCCTCATGGCCGCGGCCGTGGTCGCGTCCCCTCTCCCCTCAGCCCGGCCCGGCCGCCATTTCCCGCCACGCCAGCTCCCCCGGCCCCTGCCCAGGCCGCGGCCTCCTCCGCCGCGCCGCCGGGAGGAGGTGCCCGAAGGGGTGGGTGTCTCCTCCTGGCCCAGCCCCACGCAGCGACGGCGGGGCGGGGGAGAGGGCGGCTCCGAGGGAGCGGGGCGGGGGCGCCCGGAGCAGCCCGGCCCCCACCGGCAGGGTCGTAGCCCCTGAGGCGGCCGCTCTTCGACCTTGTGCCTCCGTCTGTCTGCTCGCGTTGTGGAGGAGCCCACCTTCAGCCAGGTAC